TGGCACAAGAACAAATGAGTATAAATCAGCCGTGAATAAATCGAAGCTAGAAATTAGTTGCTAACCAGCAGAGAAGTGGGTTCCTAGAAGAGCCATCTGCTGGGAGCAGAGGGAGCAGATCACCAAAGTACTTAGCAGATGAAGCTTGCTCCATTCGTGATCTGGACTATGTGCAGCGGGGTTGCCACAGCGAGGGATGGGCCTGATGATCAGGAGCCCCCCCTCCTGTTTCTAACCGTGTGAGGCCTTAAGGACAATTCTACATCCCCCACGCGAAAACACGTCAGTAAGAGTGCTCCCTGCAGGACTTACAGGTCAGGGGCAACTTACTCCCCTTCCAGACCAGCCTGAGAGCTCTCCGGTCTGTTACTGCCGGACACCATCTCTGCACGTGTCCTCTCTGCAGCCCCTGGGCCCCGCGACTCCCTCATGCAGCTGCGGGATGGGCTGTGTTTCGCAGCCGTTCCACTGCAGTGCCTCTTCGCTGTTAGCTCTGTGTCCTACGCAGCAAATGCCGTGGCTCTGCTGGGTGGGGGGACTTTATGTACAGCCAAGAGGCAGATTTGTACCAGGAGATGGCTTAAATGCTGCTTCTGCTTGATGTCAGTAGTGAGGTTTAGTGAGAAGTTATTTGGCACCTCCTTTTTTAATTTTTAAAATGCAGGGAAAGAACTGAGAAGATAAAAGTCTAAAATTGTCATTGTATAATTGAAATTAAATGAAATTTTGGCCATAGTGATACGCCTTCCACTGTGCCGCTGACTTACCACGTTATACCAGTACAGCATGGTCTCTTCCCAGTTTTCTCCTGGCGTATGCTAGGGTAGTTTGTCTAGGCTAGAAAGCAGGATCAGGAGATGTTCCAAAAGTTTTCTGCGTTATCCACCCAATAACACTTTGCTTTCAGATGCAATCTCAATTGCAGGTGACAATCGTTCTTTTTCTGGTGTTCCTACCTCATTCCACTGCTATGAAGGGGCTTTCCTCCTGCAGTTTGACTACAGCAAGAGCACATTTGGCCTCTGGGTATGTATTGAATAGCTAAGAGGTACCAAGCAGTCGGGTAGGATATGCTTAGATCCTCCTTTTCTTCTAAAAACCACATGGAGGAGGGAAATGGAACACTAAGATCATTGCAGACCCTGCCTCCGGTGTTGCCTCACATCATCTCACATCTTGTTGCTACAAGATGGAGTTGCGCATATGGCGTGCATTGATTATATGAGAACGTGTATGCTTTAAGGTGTAGCCTTTTTAAATAGTGTTTCTTACCGGGTAAGCATTTATGCTTCCAGGACACTGCAGGTGGTGCTTCCCTTTACCTGTTTTCGGAGCTTCTGCAGCAGAGATGACAGACCAACTTCAGCCTTGATTTCAATGAATTTGGTGGCGTTTTCGCTCTGGAAGTGAAATCCGCCTCAGAGCTCCTCCTTCAAAGCCAGAGCATTCTGAGACCAAAATCAGTATTTGGGTCCGCTCCCTCTGTTCATTTTAGGGTATTTTGGAGCCAAATGATAATAGCAACATTTTTTAAAGAAAGAAAAACAAGCCAGGACAGACTGAGGTTTGGTAATGAGCATTGAAGTGGCATGAAAGTGACTGGTGTTCTGCAAATGACCCCTGTTTAGCAGCTTTTTGGAGCTGTGTGCAATGGGAGATAGCTAGCAGAATTCCGGTTTTTAATGGGGGCTTTTTTTTCAGGTCAGAAATTCTTAATAATACAGAGCTGGTGCTTCAGAGCCTTACGTTAGCAAACCTTACACTAGGGAGTAATATCATGGGCTTTCATGCGCCTATTTACTCTAATAAGGATTACCAATGTAAGTAAAACTTGCAGGTCTGGGCCTACAAAATTAAAAGAAAACCCTTTTCACAGCCTGAAACTGCATCAAAATTCAATTTCCCCAGGAAAAAAAAAATCCTTCTGATCTAGTCCCTGGAATGTGACATTTCATGGGTGTAATAAGGTTACAAACAGATTATAAATTGAAACCCTATAAATCCTTATTGTACTGTACCAAAGCTTCTGCTTTGCATAATACTCTTATTCCTGACTGTTCTTTGTTTTACAAGCTCAAAACTATTCATTCCCTCTCATAATAGAGACCAGGGAGCCAAAAACACCGTGCAAAATCCAAAGGTAATTATCTGAGTCAAAGGACCTGAATGCCAGAGTTCACAAACTTCTGAACTTCTCTTAAGTGCCGTTGTTTGCGCAGCGAGCCCTCCCTCTTCCTTTAAACATGTTGTAAGCGTGGCACGTTGTTTCTGCCAAATGAGAACGATACAAAATCCCAGCGCAGATTCAGTTCCTGGTTTGTATTTGTGTATTGCTGCCTACGTGTCCATAGCAGATGACTGATCAGTGTTCAAATCAGAGCCTGAGCAAGTGAATCTGGTCCGGCGTGGTCAGGGTTACAAACGCTGTGGATCTCCTCACCTGAGAGCTCTGCTGGTTTCTCCTGCTGGCCTCTTTCTCAGGCTGATTTAGTGTCTAGCAAGTGTCTTCTTCCAGACCAGCCTTCCAGTAGTTGGGCACATTTATAGGTCTGCTAAAATATTACCCGTCTGCAAACAGCAATTGAGCAGCTCACTTGACAGCTAAAGAAATTAGCCAGATTAGCAGATGATGTCATGGGCTTGTTTCTTCCAGGTTTTGCCTGAAGGTGAGGATCCTCAGAGGGGTTGAATGAGAATGAGATGGCTTTGCAGGTGAGCTCTCAGAGGCCACTTGGAGCATCAGAGCAATGAGGGAGGACAGTGCAAAGAAGTGCTTGATTGTAGAAAGAGCAGAGGGAGTAGGAAAGGAGTGTCAGGGTAAGAGAGCAGGGCAGACGAGTGTGGAGGGACACAGTTGTGCAGTGACCTGAGGGTGATCTCAAGACACTTGACAGGTGAGCCAGTGGAGCAACATAGGGAGGCGAATGATCAAGTCGCCATCCTGGGCAAGCTTTGTCAGCTGCTGCAGCGAGCCTGGGCTGGGGAGGGAGTGAGGAAGGGAGCTTTACACCCCTGAGAAAGGCCAGTTTTAGAGGATGCTCACGCTGATAAAGGCTACAGGTCTGGAGCAAGGAACAAGCTCATTTGCAGGGACAAAGAGAAACAGTGTCCTATGGAGAGGTTCTCAGAAAGACCATCCATGGTGCCTGAGTGTCCACACAGCGGGAAGTAGAGGGAGGTGCTGCTGTGCACTGATTGAACCAGCCTTAAAGTTTCTGCATCAAATGGAAAGCCTGTGTCATGCACTCAATTTTTTTTCTTTTCCCTCTTGGTCGTGTAG